TACATGGTTGTGGTAGGAGGAACTGCCCGCTCCTGTTGGCCAATCTGTTAGCTGCATTGTATCGATATATGTAAATCGACTCCGTTCATCCATCGTCGGCTACCTTCTTTTGTTCTTGCCCACCTGTGCGGCCGTGCCTGTGCGGAATAGACAATATAAGGCGGAGCCTTATCCGTAGCTAAGCTATGTGTTTTATTGGCACTGGTACGATGGTTAATGGTTCTGGTTCTGGTCCGTGTGATGTTCCTGGTCCCGGACGAGCTTCCTCGGGGACACCCCGGGGAGCCTCAACCGTGAAGACGCCGTCTTCAAGACGGCTTCGTAGACCCGGCCGCTGAAGATGAGAGCCGCTCACTCTCATTGAGAGGGCCGCTCCCGGAGTGCGCGCAGATCCGCGTAGTTCTCGTCTGCAGAGTGCCTCAGAGTGGGATAGAGGCCTTCACGATAGTGTAGAGTAATTTGACTAGGTCGTAAATGGAGGCCAGCACTCGCACACATAGCAACAGCACTGCTGTTACAGCAGATTCGATACGGTCGAGGCAATCGTAAATGTTGATGTCACCATTGTCCACCTTGACGTCAGAGAAGTATCTCATGACTTTCGCATGTGAATTCGGCACACAGTACTGATGTTGAAGGTAGCCAAGTGCTTGTGATAGTGTCAGAACATAGTCGCTCAAGTAGAGGGAGGGATCCATAGTAGTTACCAAGTGGATCTGTAAGTTCCTCTTGACCGACTGGCTAGGACAGTTGGATGGATAGATATTAGATAGTCGAGGGCCCAGTGCTGTTTGTTTCGCTTCACAGCGGATAAGACTCACAAAGTAGTTGATACTCCTGTTATCAGAGTATGCCTTGTACTGTTCGTTGTCGGGGCACTTGATATGGGAAACAGCATTGATGGCCTTCGTTCAACGAAGGCCGAAGGCTTGATACAACGAAGTTCGTTGTATCGGGAGGACCCTGGTTACTTCAACGCGATGATGATGCGTAGAGACGGTCACTCATTACCATCATGGCTTCCAGCCCCTTCACTTGGCGCTCTTCGTGCAGTGCGCAATAAAAGGCGAGTGAGACCGACAGTCGCACGTCGCGGGTTCGGATCCCTCGACATCCGCTTGTAAGTTAACACCAATTACGCAATGTCTGACCTGTGATGGAACATTTTACGGTGTCTACAGCAGCATTCGCTCTGGCAAGAGCATGAAAAGATGAAAAAAACCTTTTTTTGGGTGAAAAAGACGAAATTTCATTGTTTTGAAAATTTCGGCTGCCCGCCGAAATTTTATGAAATTGAAATGTGTGAAATGTGAAATTTCAATCAGAGCTGCGAACCCTGTACCACACACTTATAAATGGGAAGGAGGACCGCTCTTGAATGCTGCCCATGTGCTAGAAGATACTGAGAAAGATAAATCGAGCATTTCAATCCCGTCAGATTGCTGCTGGCCATTCGGCAACTTCAGTAATTGCAGCTACATTGCCCAATGAGCTTTTGCCCGAGGGCTTAGTGTGATAGGTAATGACCTATCACGTCTCAGCCTCACATCAGTTATGAATGTGAGGCTCTAGTCTGGAGGCTCCAGAGCCTGCATGATTGCCTCGCACTCTGTGGAGGTTGCTGATCTCTCGAACTCGACATGCTGGGAGAGCAAAGGAATCGGCCGTGTCAGCCGCAGATCAATAATCGATAATCGGTACATTAGCTATTGTGCGCACACGCCACGCACAACGACCACTAGTAGTGGTCCACTACACACTCCTCCAGGAAGGCATCTACCTCCATTGGAGAGGAGAGCTTGAGTTGTCGCAGTAGGTTCGGCAACTCATCGACTATGGTCGGCCTTCGCACATACCGCCTCCGTCGTGTATAGGTCCGCCGAATGACAGTGTGACGGAGATGCTGCCACGACCATCCAAGCTTCATTGCGGCTCTTTTGGCACTATTCTGTATGACACCATCCGGCAAGGTCCTCAAGAAAGATTCGATGAACGTGCCGGGTACATCACCGTAAGACCTAAACTGTCGGCCTTGACCTCCGCTCACGAAAATGCTGATCCTGGCTTCCAGAGGAAGCCTTCCACGAAGGTGTTCTCACAGGCTTCGAAATGTGCTGTGAGCTCTAGAGCCTCGGTGCATTTAGGAAACTTCAAGCGGGACGGGTCAATCAGATTGACCCGTCCCGATTGACTCAATCAAGAGATTGACTCAATCTCTTTGGGACCCGAGGTGTCTCTCGCCTCATAAGCCACATTCCCCAGCTATAGGCGATATGCAGTCCCCGTCAGCGTTAGATCCACAGTTAGTGGTGATGAAAGTATGCGAGGCCTCGATATCGCTCGACACGGTGCCCCAACTGTGAAACCCGATCTTTATCGACGGCGCATAGGCCATCGAGGTCCCCACATCCACATGTGATTGGGACGGAGGTATAGCATGCAGGACCGCTGAGTCCGAGTCACCTCGTGGCGGGACTGATGCCCTTTTCGATGATGCGTGGCGGGTGGATGCTGGAATTCGCATCCACCTCCTGATCAATCCGATCCGTCAGCTCAGTGAGCTTTTGATGGAAAACAGCTTGAATTTATTGTATCATCATGACAAGTATATTAAGGAAGTACAGTACCAAGTATTATTATTCAGCGTGTAATATACGCCGTAGCGTTAATGCAAGGGCTTGTATTATACAAGCGTATCGACGACTGCTTGTGAGCGTGCTTAGATCCTTCTGAACTCACACTGGACCCACCATGTGATGATCGAAGAGCTACCACTAGTGCGCCCCCTTCCAACGCATCAAACTCATCCGCTTGGTTTCTTTGCAAGTGATTCAGATGCAGGGATTCACGGGCCGCGAACTCCATAAGCTCTTCGAAGGATCTTTCTCATCCGGCACGATGATAGTCTCCCTAACGTTGTCCACCCTCCCCTGGACCCTGCCACGCTTTAGTAGCTCCTTCTGACGAGCTAGCTCTAGAGTCTCCATCGTTTGGCTCTTGTGCCGCCTTCGCCTCCGCAATAGCTGTCACCATGTCTTCACCATCATTGCATTAACTTTGCTGAGCATGAAACTCCACAGTTACGGGCATAGAAATAGAGTCGAGTTAGTGGTTACCACCAACTCAACTCTATATAGATGTTTTGTCCTTATTACTCACCGACTTCTCCTGTATAGATGAGTCGATGTAGTTGATGAGAAGGACCAGATTCGGGCCCGTTGTCTCGGAACCCGGTCGGACCAGCGCAGCGTACTTCCAAATGCTGGCGGATAGCAGGCAACCATTTGATGAGAGGAGTTCATTAAGCCAGTACACCACCAACTCCTGAGCATCGATGCTCTACCTGGTAAACGATGGATTACATACAGACTTTCTGAATCACGTTGGTGTTTGGTATTCTATGGAAGAACTTAACTCGATACGCTCGAGATCATCACAGCACATCTACATGAACACACAATGAGTTATCGTTGCTGATATATCGTCGAATTCGACCAGGAATCGTCTATACCTGTCAACCCTTGAGGCATCTCGCTTCCACTCATACACTTTTCCACGCCCTGAGTTCACTGACACCATAAAACATATCAGTCGAAGTAGAAGAGTCCTTCACGCGATCATATGCTCTCGCTGGTGGCCCTCCGTTAGCATCACCGAAGACCCCTCTCCGGAATTTTGTGAGAAGCCCTGGAGTCGAATATACGGGTTCCAAAACCGTGTAGCGTATCGCTGGCAGCTCCGTATAGTCATTTCGGCTCTTCCTCAAATCCGCGATTTCAACCAAAAATACATCACCGATCTTAACATACAGAATACGATACCGCGCAGCACTTGCGTCATATTCTTTTCCAGGGTCAGCCACAACCTGTTCCCTGGTAAAACTACCTGCGTCGATTTCATATGCTTCGAGAGTCGGGGTAGCTGCGGTATATTTTAATGATATTCGCAGATCTCTCGAGTTGCCAAACCATTCGCCATCAATGGGCGGGTTGCCTTCAGGAACAATCATCTCTGCGAGAGCCTTTTGCGCGCACATACTCTCAAATTCCGAGGAAATTTTTTCTCGTTCCTTCTCGCTACTCATCCAAGAAGTAAACGTACGAATCTGACCTGTACTAACCATAGACTGTGTCGCATAGGAGACGTTAGTGAAACAGGCAGACTGGGAATCTTTCCCCACCGAAACTCGATACTCCTGAGTGCCCCTAGGCCAGCCAGCTACTCGAATAGCCGACGCCTCGGTCACGCTTCTCTCACGGTCATCATCATCATCATCCTCGAAACTCAGGAAGTCGTAGTAGGCATGCTTTATGCCATTCTCGAGCTTGAACGTAACGTGAGGGGCAAGACGGGAAGGGTCGGCCGCGGCTTTCCTATTGACCTCGTGTGGGAATAAGTAATAACGTACTTTCCCAAAAGGTGCAGTAAGGCATCTCGGATGGTGAATTCTTCCATCAACGATATATGATAGATAACCGAACAGGAGTAGTGGTATGAAGAACCGACGAAAGTCTGCTCGTCCGGAGATGATGATCATGAATGTCGCTCCAGAAGGGTTGGATACTCCTAAGAATGAACACTGTTGTTGAGAATACTATCCCATGCTAGCATGTATCAATGAAGAATAATCACACAAATAGAATATGAATGTCATACTATCGAATTTCACTGCTCGACGATATAGTATAGTATATAGTACAGGTGTATATCGAATATACACATGTTCGCATCCGCCTGAAGCATATACGACATCGTTTGACACTCCTACAGTGGAGTTCCCCCTCGTTACGCAACACAATGGTTGTGAATCAGATGGACGAACAATCAAAGGGACGACGAACATGTTAGCGCACGCCCACACAATCGATAAAGTCCTGTGGACGAACATCTCGAATGGACGAACACTGAGTTGGACGAACATTGGCAGAGAAACGCAACAGAAGACGTTCACGCTCAGAAACATCCACACTCATAATAACACACACGAAACTGTGAATAAACTGTATGATTGACACTTCCAGCTTACAGCTCGATATCCATCCGGCCCTGAAGGCGGTTGTTTTTGCCGGGCCTTCCGCGTTTTCGTGGGAATGGCTTCAGTCTCTTCTCCTGCAGACAACGAACCGCATGATCCCGCATTTTTCCTCATCGTAGGTGGCCTTCTCCGGATCGACAGTCGCTCGTTGGAGGGCGTACTCTGTCGCCCACGCCAATGTGAAGAGGCCGCAGTTTGCAGATCCGGGTGTCTGCTGTTGTGTGCGCAAACATACGCACTTTGTACCTTTGCCGAAGATAGCGGTCATCACTTCACGCATAGGTCCAGGAATCGCGTTCATACCCAGTGCGCTATCGAGATATAGCACTAGTCCCTCGTGATTCCTGACAGCGAGGGCAAAATGCTTAGCTCCATAGTCGTATAAGGGTTGGATGATCGAGGGTGCATTGCTGAACCTAGGAGCCTTCGGGATGCCCTCAAGCTGTATTTTCATAACCTCTAATGATGCTGGAGTTATCGGAGGAGACTGCAGCAAACATAAGCACCTAGTACACAGTAGGGCCATCCAGTGACGCTTCCCCGGGCAGTGCGAAGAATGATCGCCTCCAACTTGAGTGGAGCTGTTCTGGCTAGGCTTCAAATCATCACCGTGGCCGAACTCCTGCTCTGCACTACCGTCATCATCATCATCATCTCGTCATCGGAGTTGATGTCGACATCGTCGTTATTGCACTGAGCAGCGTGCTTGACTGCTCCCCTCACGACTCCACGGGCGAGCTTGAACCATTAATGGAGATCAGGTTTGTCAACCGGACGGCCGCAAAGAATTTGCAGCCTGGCGTCAAGCGCAACATATTCAGGCTTTCGATACCATGCATCACCGCGATCATACATGACAGCGTCAGCATATACTCCGCTGATGATCCGCCTTACCGCATCCACCCAGACCCATAGGTGGAGTTACTTCAACTCCAACTAGTGCTGAGCGTCTGTTACACATGACTCTAGTGGAGGCAAGTAGATTTTGTGGCTCTGTTACCTAATTCGGACTTGTATCTTATTTCAGGACTTGAACCGTGATTGAAATGAGACCCGGGCATTAAGAGGAATTTAGGGCGAACCGTTCGCCGCGAACGAGGTTCTTTTTGTGTTTTTTGGGCGTGCGCCAAGTTGTTCGTCCTGTTGAGTGTTCGTGCCAACGATTAGGCACCAACACAATAACAGTAGCGTTAAAGAAGCCTTTAAATGATATGATGAGAACACTACGAACAACGAGAAGGTAGGAGGTACCTTATGGGAACATGAAGATGTGTATGATGATAATACCATCACGTCGAGCAAATGTGCGGACGAGAAGAAGAGGTAGACGCTAAAGCAGAGTAGTTTACGATGAATGTCCACTGAATTTAGGACAGGAAAATTGATCACATCCGTTTCGTTCCATTTTTTCAATTAGCGCGCGCCCAAGCAATCGATTGCTTTTGACGCCATTAAGTTGACCTTATCAATGACCGACTCCATCGACCAACTTCCAGCAGTAGTGGAGCTGAACCGGGAGGACTTCACCACTCATATTGAGGTCCCTGCTATACGAGTGCCGGCTAGGGAGGTGCAGAAGTGGACCAAGGACCCAGAAGTGGCTAAGTGCCTACTACGACTACCTCAAATTCGACCCGTTCAATCTGACAAGGACGACCCGAAAAATAATAAAATTATTTGCTTCAAAGCTGATGCTGACTTGCCGAAAAAAGTGCGAAATTTCGGCGTAATTTCTCACGAAATTGTCCGAGGATATGCGCAGATGAGCACCGAGGAAATCCTGAGGAAAGTACTGCCAGCCAATTTGGAAGTGCCTTCATCATTCGAGAGCATCGGCCACATCGCTCACTTCAACCTCAAGGATTCACATTTACCTTATAAGAAGATTATCGGTGAAGTTATACTCGATAAAAATCCTGCTATTAAATTGGTTGTTACAAAAGTGGCAAATTTGCATAACGAGTTCAGAACAATGGAGTTAGAAGTGATGGCATGTGCTGATGGATGCGATCCGACCGACTTCATCACAACTGTTAAGGAAAACGGCATGCAATTCAAAATGGACTTTTCAAAAGTGTAATAATATTCGGGTAGAAATATACTCGACTATATATAAAATATTTTTTTCTTCGCATGTAGCATCAGTTCATTCACGGGGGAGACACTACCTAGTATAGGAGTATAGCGGTGAACTCTACTAAGCTTCGAAATGAGCGGTCAAGCCCTCGTGAATGTATGAAAACTAATTCACGTGTATAGACTCGAAGCCCTGATATATATGTATATATTTTAAAAGATATTTTTTATATTTATATTTTTTAAGATATTTTTGTCATCGTCTTTGAGTGGATCCGATCTAACTCGTTCTCTATCTTTTACCATTACATGCTCAACTACTCGTGTTGATGCCAATAGGAAACTTCTGCGGAAATTTTGGTAAATTTTTGTCGGTTTTTCTGTCAAGTTCAGCTGAGGAAAACGATTGCATATATATTCTAACACTGGTAGGTATTGGAATTCGCGACTGTCTACTATGCGACAAGGCTTATTAGAAGACCTCAACTCTTCGAACTCAGTTGTGGTGGACATGTGCTGTGGCATCGGGGCGTTTGTTATTATGGCTGCTAAAAAAATCGGTAATAGTAGTAGGAAGAGGGTTTTTTATATTCACTTTTCTAGGATGAAAAGTAAATACTAATCTCATTAGTATAATAAACGTGAATATAAAAAATATCATTAAAAAATATTCATTTTTTCCGGAAAAAAATATACGAAAAAACTAAATATATCAAATAATCCCAAACCTAGATGTATTTCCGCCGAATTTATATTCATTTTTTAGAGTGTGAAGTATATGCTAGTGATCTCAATATGATTGGTATAATAAATATGAATATGAAAAATATACAGTTTTCCCGGAAAAATACGAAAAACATAAGTATATCAAATAATCCCGAACCTAGATGTATTTTCGCCGAACTTATATTCATTTTTTAGAATGCTAAGTTTATGCTAGTGATCTCAATATGATTGGTATAATAAATATGAATATGAAAAATATACAGTTTTTTTCTCGGAAGAAAATATGTACCAGATGAATAAATATATTGAGTAATCTCGAATTATATCCACTTTTTTGAATGTCAAGTTTATGCTTATGGTCTCATTCTCATTAGTATGATGAATATCAATATGAAAAATATCTATAAAAAATATATACAGAATTTTCCGGAAAATTTATACAAAATAAAAAAATATATAAAGTAATCCCGAGACTAGACGTACTCCCGCTCAATTGAGTTCCTTTTCGTAGTGTGTAAAGTATATGCAAATGGTCTGAATCGTACTATTACAAGAAATATAGATAAGAAAAATATATTAAAAATAAAAAACATCGTACCAAGATGTATATCTGTCCAACTTGTATTCGCCTTTTAGCGTGTAGAGTTTATGCAAATTATCTCGCTCTTATTAGTATGATAAATATCTCAGAATTAACTCTATAAAATTTGCTAGTGAGTCGCTTTTTTTATGAAATTTTTTTGAAAAAAATATGAAATGAATCGCCCAAATTATATTCGCTTTTTTAGGGTGTAAAGTTTATGCTAATGATCTCAATCCTGAATCTACCAAATGGTGTTTGGAAAATGCCAAGTTGAATAAAGTACCATCGGGACTGATGACCATATCTACAGAGGACGGCAGAGAATTCGTAATATGGGGTTCCTATAATACTTTCCCATAATGGGAAAGCTTGTTGTTATTCGTATTTCGCACGGAATGCGAAATACAGCTTGCAGTGACTTCGACGAAATTAAGTTTTCATTTTCAAAAATTTTCAGATACTACGGATCATCGACTGGTTTATGATTGTGAAAAAAAACGTTTTTTTTTCGGGAAAATTTCAAAAATAAATGTTTTTCGTGAAAAATTAGGAATTTTTGGCTGTAACAATACTAGACTTGATATAAAGCATTGTTTTCATTATTGATTTTTGAAAATTACGCAGGAAAAAATACACTCACTACTCGATAGTTGTTTTTGTTTTTGTAGGTTAAAAGGCTCGTGAGTGAGGGTGTATTCGACGAGAAAAAGGATTTCCACTTCTACATGAATTTACCATCGATCGCTATTACATTCTTAGATGTATTTGTTGGGCTTTTCAGAGGACATGAGGAGGCTGCTGAGAAAGCTAGACTACTGGTAATTCTGGTTTCGAAATATGATATTATGATTATATCAATCAATACAATGGAGTTTCACCACCCGTTTTACGTGTAGTCTCGGCGATATTCGCGGTGATATGCAGTAGTCGTGAAATATTTTTTTCACTAGTGTTTTTTTCATATCATTAGGGTGAAAGTAATGATTCATCTCTTGGGTAGAAGTGGAATAGGTTTTCAATTTTTATATCATCTGAAGTAGTCTGGTAAAATATGTACATTATATTCAACGAGGAAAATTTCCGATAGTTTTCATGCAGTTCTACGCGAATTCGTATGGTGAGTAAATGTCTGAGCTCAGCTGAGTGAAACGAACATGTATTTCTCCGACACGGCTTTGTAAATGTCCGAAATGTTCGGGGATGAATTTGAAATAAAAAGATCCTCATTGCGTGGTTTTAGATCTGTAAACTCGTAGTAGCTCTGAAGTGTGGGAATATTATATTTCGAAGTTATGGTGACTGAATTTAGGAGTTTATATACAAATTATGGTAAAAATGTGGAGAAACTAACAAGAATTTTTTAAAAAAATTTCCACCACCACGCGGAGTTGATCTGCTGCTCAGTTTCTGTCAATGTGAAGAGGTTAGGATGCTTAACAGTGTGGGAATATATGCGCATGGTCAACTACTTGTGTAGGTGACATCTGTGGAAATTTCGAGGAAATTTTCATTGTTTTGTATACACTTAGCCTGAACTCACATGTAAACTCTTATAATCAGCGAGTAAGCTGATTACAAATGCTGAGTACAAATGTTGTTGAAAAGAGGGTATAAAATATATATAAGATCATATAAGAAAGCGCTTAATATTTTAGCAGTAATTTATATTTTTCCTCAAAAAATTTTTAGGAGAATTTTACAGGTAGGCTTTTCGTTGAATTTCAACTGAAATTGTATATATAATAGTAAACGATAAAAATGCAATTATATATCTCAACACTGATTTCAGGTTCACTGTCATTGTTTCGCCCGAGAAGAGCCACCCAATGAGGAGTTATACGCTGCAGCTGACAAAGCGATGGAAAATAAGGAGGGTTGGAAAATTGATAGAAAATTGGGTAAGGGGGAATAGCGATTGGAGTGGTATTGCAGACTACACTACGTGTGAATTTGGTATGTAAGGAATCTACACGGTTCGCGTGGGTGATTATTTCGCTCGCCATGATATTTTAGTAACCGTTCCGAACATGACCGTTTCGACTCAACATGTGATGAATAATGATAATAACTATACCCTATTGAAGTTTCAGCTCAAAACTCTTATTTGTAAACGAGAAACACAGATTTTTTGAATTTTCCTGAGAAAAAAATACGCTCCTTAGATGCGTGTTTCTTGGAAAGACAGGTTCAAATCGCTATCACAGTTCTAACGGGTACTTAGTTGTCGCAACATATGTTCATAGTCATTGTTACATTGTATATGCGATATAGTTTGACATTGATTCTTGGAAAATAACACACATTTGCATATCGAATTGGCATGCATTGTATGTAGCAGTGTCGGGATATATGTTTGCTTTCCTCAGCTGAGCTCAGGAGTTTCTAGCTCACTAGTTGTACCGATTAGTTTGGAAGTGTATGAAAATGATGATGATGAATTTTATAAACACGTGGTGAGTTTTATCACTAGTTTTACGAATCACACAGAAATGTACAGAAATCAAAAAGAATGGCCTCGTTTTTTTTATGTTGTCATCAACATATGAAAATTTTGATTTTAATGTTGTTTAGTTTCTATTAATGAAGTTCGCGATGTAGCCCCCAACAAGAGGATGTACTGTTTTGAATTCGCAGTGCCCAAGGAGATACTTATGGCGAGTAAACCAGAGGAAGAACCTGCTAGTAAAAAACAGAAATGAAAACGTACTGTGTTTCTCGTATGAAGTGTTGTTGTTGTTGTTGTGTTGTGAAGTAGTAGTAGATAGTAGACAGTCTCTACCTTGGATTGAAAGGACGTTGATCAGAGTGTGGTATGGTCAAATGAAGTTGAACGCAACACAGACTGAACATTACTGGAGGACATAGATTGAGAGGAAATTAAGAAAATACAAGTTGTATATATTATTAGTGAATAATGATGGCAATGTTCCTAGCGAAACGCTAGGGGACAAAAATCCTTTGTGTATGCGTACAATACAAAGGAAAACTGCTTCGCTCAACGCCACGGAACAACTGTCCCAATCACTGCCGGGATCGGCTCCGGATACCGGTCTCGAGCCTATTGGCAACCTATTATGTGTTCTGGCATAAACGAGCTAGTGGCACACTGGCAAAGTGTGTCATCATGTTTCGACTACTCTCCACTAATGAGAACTCAAGAGATTCATCCGGTCGGTTCTGCTGTCCTTTACGTTGAATAAATTACACTTATTGTATGCATTTATGAGATCGCACGATATGTGAATACTTATGATGATGTATTATAACGGAGTTTCACCCGTTTTACGCGAAATTCGCTGCTCATATGCGTTTTTCGCGAAGTGAAATGTGTTTCTCACTAGTGGTTTTCACATCACGGGTGAAACTCCGATAAAGTTGAAATAGATAATAGTCATAACCATATATATAATACTCATGTTTAACATGAAATATTAAATAGTGGTCCTAATTATATATTTATAATCGAGACGCGCCAGATATGAGTGGCTATGGTTCGAGTATCTATCAAAAGCTTTGGTCATTATTATTACTCTTATACGGTTACTGAGCATAGCAGACGGAGCGAAGTCGTTGCTGTATGCATTGTTGATCTTGTTGTGAATGTATAAGTCGTAGAACTCAATGCAGAGTAGGTTGAGGTGCAGCAGTATACAAAACGTCAATGTGGGCCTTATGTTCGCTATGTGCTTACGCACACATCTATACTAAATTGAGCAAGGTATGCGACTAGATTTGGTAGAACAGTGTGGTCTTGCAGTTCTCTAGTATTTGATATTAGCTATAGTATGCATGCCCAAGGTGCAGCTCATCATATCTTTGGTAGTTTTCCCCATTGTCATCCTCGACTGTGTTACTTAGTAAGCAGTCGTTGTTGAGTTTAGTGTGAGATTGACCAGGAGCAACAGAGTCGGGTTCGGCGATGGTGTAGCAACGGTGCCACCGTATCAAGTTCAACTAGAGAATGTTCATCCGAGATGTTTTAGAGTTTTGTATAAATTGATTCGTACGGAAATTGCATATTGCAGTATTTTGTATATAATAGATTTGCTTTCGAACTTGCCTCTACGAAGGACGCCTATCGTGTTTGCACGCATGCACATCACTAGAGTTTTCTGGAGCCAGGGGGTATATCCTCTCGACATGATGGTCTAGTCGGACCGGCCGTTCAAAAACTTGGCAACTCTGAAATCTTTCTTGAAAATCGATTCCGACTTCGCGTTCAACAGACACGATTTAGAAATGTCAGAAACGGTTCTTGGAACATGACTTGTCAAAATCTATGATTCCTGAATCTATTCCGGAACTCACAATCGATTTGATAAACAACCCTGAGAGATTCATTCATCTCTTTCCACGCCGTAGAGACATTCACACTTTTGAGTCTCGCTCGCCGTAGGAAGAATCATCTGACGAAACGGTTGGGTTTTCACTAGTAGGTTGTAGTAGATGATGTCCAAACTCTATAAGATGTTTGGTATCGGTGTTTTGATGTCGTATTCGCATATGTCTACTACGAATCATTAACTCTGCACTGAGATCGGTTGTAATCATGTGTAACCACTCGCTGTACTGGTCTGGTGGTGGTGATCTACCTTTCGTTAGGTCGTCCAAGGTTGAGGTCTTTCACCTCTTGGTGTTGCCCTCAAGTCCCTACTGCTGTCGCTGAGCCTTACAACTACGGTACTCTGCGTCGTCCACTCTTTCCTATTGGGTCCATCGACGTTACCTGTGAGAAATACAACAGAGCTATCTACGACTGGGGAGAGTGCTGACTGGCACCAAAATAGACTTTATCATCACTAGTGACTACGGCTTAGATGAGGCCCTGCTAGGTGTGGCGTACTATCGTATGTGCTGTATGCTGAGGCTTAATCTGTTGGTTCGGGTTACAAGCCTTTGTCGATGAGGGTTAGATGCGACACGGTGCACGGCAAGTACATGGCTTGTTGTCTAGTGTAGCCGTCGTGGAATATTTCAACATTGCTGTTGCTACTATTGAAACCTAGAGGACCGCCTGACTTTACTGATCCTTGATAGTTTTGTTACTCATTTTCAGCCTCCTGTGTCGGTCCTTGAGCGGCATTTGCTTCTCTATGTATGCAGTTTGTACGGTATGTAAGTCGTCACTCTGCCATTGTGAATGTCTTTTCTCGAATCTTTCTAGATTCAATCTGATATGCTACGAGCGTGACCTTGTGCATCGTTGAGATAATAGCGATGACTTGGCTGCTATGTAAGGGGGTTTCGGTGAAGTCATCATCGCGAATGCCTTCACCGAGAAGAAGGTTAGTGCAGCGCTGAATTGTGGATATCTCGCGTTATTTGTTTACTAGTTACCAGGGTATAAGTTTCATACGATAATCGGCGTCGTTGCTTTTTTTCTCAATTTGTGGTGGAGGAAGTGAGTCATTGTTGTTTTGTCAGCAGCAATCCTTTCTCGCCTCGGTTCTCAACATGCGCGAGCTCGTCCACGTTCAGGCTGGTCAGTGTGGCAATCAGATCGGCGCCAAGTTCTGGGAAGTCATCTCCGACGAGCATGGCATCGACCCTACGGGTACCTACCACGGTGATTCTGACCTCCAGCTTGAGCGCATCAACGTCTATTATAACGAGGCTACTGGCGGGCGATATGTGCCTCGCGCTGTCCTTATGGATCTTGAGCCAGGCACTATGGATTCTGTCCGAGCCGGCCCCTTTGGGCAATTATTTCGCCCTGATAATTTCGTATTTGGTCAGAGTGGCGCTGGCAATAACTGGGCTAAAGGCCACTACACTGAGGGCGCTGAGTTGATCGATTCTGTTCTCGATGTTGTGAGGAAGGAAGCGGAGGGTTGTGATTGCTTGCAAGGCTTCCAGATATGTCACTCGATGGGAGGTGGCACTGGTTCCGGCATGGGCACTTTGCTGATCTCCAAGATCCGTGAGGAATATCCTGACCGCATTATGGAGACATTTTCAGTGTTCCCCTCCCCTAAAGTGTCCGACACCGTTGTCGAGCCTTACAACGCCACTTTATCGGTCCATCAATTGGTCGAGAATGCTGATGAAGTTATGGTTATGGACAACGAGGCGTTGTACGATATTTGCTTCCGTACTCTGAAGCTCACTACGCCGACTTATGGTGATCTCAACCATTTAGTGTCCGCTGCTATGTCGGGCGTTACTACTTGTCTGCGCTTCCCGGGTCAGCTCAACGCTGATCTGCGCAAACTAGCTGTGAATATGATTCCCTTTCCTCGTTTGCACTTTTTTATGACTGGTTTTGCCCCCCTCACCTCGAGGGGCTCTCAGCAGTATCGAGCTTTGACCGTCCTGAGTTGACGCAGCAAATGTTTGATGCGAAAAATATGATGTGTGCCTCCGACCCTCGTCATGGTCGTTACCTAACTGCAAGCGCGTTATTCCGCGGCAGGATGTCAACGAAGGAGGTCGACGAGCAAATGCTCAACGTTCAGAACAAGAATTCGAGTTACTTTGTCGAGTGGATTCCCAACAACATCAAGAGTGGCGTCTGCGATATCCCTCCTAAGGGCCTCAAGATGGCTGTGACATTCTTGGGGAACTCGACGGCTATTCAGGAAATGTTCAAGCGCGTTGCTGAGCAGTTCACTGCGATGTTTCGGAGGAAGGCGTTCCTCCACTGGTATACGGGTGAGGGTATGGACGAGATGGAGTTCACTGAGGCCGAGTCTAATATGAACGATTTGGTTTCGGAGTATCAACAGTATCAGGATGCCACTGCTGAGGAGGAGGGAGAGTTTGATGAGGAGGAGGGGGAGTACGACATGGAGCCGATGTATTGAGGATGGCGACGAATTCATGCGTGAATTTATTTTTGGTGTTTGCTCCTATCACTTTGCTCGGTCAGTGATAAGCCGGTATTTGAACCATTTTTGGATATCGCTATAAAGGCAATTGCTCTCTGATTAAGTATTAGTGATGGGGTAGACAGTACTCGTAGTGGTGAAAGTAATATTACGACCGTTGTTGAGTTTTGTAGTTGACCGGTTTATGACTACGTAAGCAACCTGATCCCAGACAACTATCACGAACACTTTACGACAGTGTGGTACAATATGCACATTGTCAACCACATGTGTTGGTGTCAAAGTAAAATTCTGAGGAAATTTTGGAAAATATTCAACAACTTTTATACCTTCTACTCGGATTCATATATGCACTTTTATAATTTGTGAGGAAACTGCTAAGCGCCGTTGAGGAAACCAAACGCATATCTACCCACACTTCTTTTCGAAGGCGTATAATAGGGAATTTAGGAGGGGCTCTTCCATTCGTAATAGAAATTCAATCGCGTGTGGAGAAGAAAAGTTCACCTCTCCTTCGTTATCTCTCCTCTTGACACTATTCGTGAGTCCCTGATAACACTGAGACTTTCGTCAATCACATTGTACAGTTCGCGCGATCTAGTCCAACGTAAACGTGTCGTAATATTGTATCATTATACTGCCTACTCCTTTTGGCAGAGTGCAAAAGATTCGTTTGATGCCCTTTGATCGAGCGAACGCAAAACCAGCACTGTTGACAACAAGTCGTTACATGTATCATTACAATTCTTCACTGAAAGGCAATAATTCCTGTGGCTCGTCCTTCGTCTTCAAGACATAGTGCAACATATCATTGCTGTCATACCGCTCCTTCGCCGCTTCATCCATCACCACTGGTAGATGCACCACTTCACCATCTTCCAAAGTGAGCTTGTCCCCCAGTAACGTCAATATGCCTCCTGAAGTCTTCGGTACAAAAACATGGGCACTGCCCCCGTGATCATCGAAAACCACTCGAATTCTGTTCTTTTCATGAGCATGCGCAGCAGCTGTTTCAATGGCCTTCTGATGGCGACTCGATACCACACGATCGTCTACTTTGGCGCCCTCTCTTGGTACGGTTATTGTCAGCTTCCCAGAAGTCTTATCGAACTCCACGCGAGTCTTATTCAAGTTACAGTCGCCTCCCAGCGTATAAAAGCGTTGCATAAGACGACTGACACCATCGTGTTGTGTGCTAGCCCGAATGACCAAGCCGTGGGCGTATCTTTTCACAGAGACTTTCGAACCATAGCCGTCCTCATTCGGATGGTTATACGCCGGCACTTCGCCGTTTATAACGACCGACTGGTTGGTGACACGCATGTGGAATCCGCCAGAATGACCGATGGAAGCGGACGACATTTGCGACAAGATTGTGTGAAACGCCGTGGGTAACATGACATGCGTACGCAGGAGCAGTCGTGGGTGTTGTTGCATTGAGAGCCCTGGAAGGTCTAGTGGCATTAGACCGTGAAGGGCGCCAGCAGAGTGGATGAGGTCGTCTAATGGGGAGGAGATGTGGCCGAGGTGTGGTATGAAGTCCTCATTGGAGACATCGGCAGGCTTGGAGAGCACTCTAGCCTCTTCTGACGCACTGCTGAGAACGACGGCGACCGCATATAAAGGAGCGAGCCGCCAGCACATAGTAAAACCTCGAATTGGGGAGTCCATCAATATTGACAACACGATAACAACAGATCCAGAAAAGCCAATGTTGGTCATGGTTTGCCACAGAGAGGATGAGGACGGTCGAATATACATTCTTTCTTCTTAAGATGAGCTACTCCATAGCATTTTCTCTGTGGTCCACGATGTTGGTAGTAGCAACGAGAACTCGAGAACGGCGTCATCTGTTTACGATTGACCCTCTCTCGGAAGCTCAATCAGCTACCACGGTTTGATAGTCGGCGAGATGCCATCCTGACGGTCGTTTGCACTGAGTGAAGACATTCTTTCCACCATCACACAAGTCGATCTGAAAATATCTATCATGCAAACAGAGGCGTTTGACGTTCAGGACCGGGTCCTGCAATCGCGGTTGGGGTCTTTGCCTTTCCAACTCGTAGTTCGCCATGACTTCATCTGCGAGTGGCCGTATGAGCTCATCAGGAAGGACTACACCACCCTCGTGGTTTCGAGGGAACTGACGCATATCCGTACCTAGAATTATGTCACGCGCCACGAAATTGTCATCAATGAACATACAGAAGTACCCCACTCTGGAGTGTCGGGCCATAGCAAGGAAGTCAGGGTTGAAAGGATGATTAGTGGTAGCGAAGTCCACGAGTTGAGTCCCCGGACGCATGTAAACGACATTCGCCAAACCCGACCCGAACGGGCCAATTATGATATCAGTTTCCTGCAGCTTAACCTGCGACGGTCCTTGAGACCCTCTGCCGGCCTCAATTTTCTTACCATCCATTCACGTATAGTAAATCGACCGAAAGTCTCCGGCCAAATCATGGTGATAGTCGCGCCTAGATTTTCCAAGGCTTGGGCCAAAGCGGAAATACTGCGTCGATCGATATGACGGTCACGCACGGTGGTCTCTCTGGTCTCAGAGGAAAGGCGATGATCACTATGGAGCTGATGGACTCACCGAGTCGTCCACAGTATCCTGGGTCGTTTTGGAAGGTCCCATTCAGGAAGGGGCGCGTCGAAGTCGATCGCCAGTCTTTCATGGTTAACCAGAGGGTAGACCACCGGTGGCTATCACCAAGGACCCAGGTTCGATCCCCGGCACCGGCACTAACACTCTCCCTACCTCCTCCTGAACGCGTCCTTCCGTCGGCTTCCAATAGGACTTTAGCTTGAGCGAGACAAAGACTTGGTGTTGATACGCGGAGACTATCCCTCTCCAGAAGAGATCATTTCCCCATGGTGCTACGTTGTTGTAGTAAATACACCTGTCGAGACAACCAGAGGAAGAGTTTTGATTGGCTCGATAGGGATGGAGATGCGCCTTCGTTACTTTGAGCTGTCCTGTGGCCAGACGAGCTGAGTGCCGATGCAGACGCCTCCTTGGGAAGGGACGACCTCCGAATATTTACGAATACGAGGGAACTGATAGTGTATGAGATAGACCGTCACGCGCCATGAAATTGATACCAGAGCTCCCAAGAGATCGTATATTTTGATGGTCTTCCCTCGGTGAAAAGGCCAGTCCTTCAGCCAGAGCTCATTGGGATGGTTCGAGCGGTTGAGACCCGAGAGGAGGAAGTCGGCGAAGAGTGGTATGAGGAAGTTGTTATGGACCTCCAGTGCGCCGCCATAGTCAGTTTGAAACGCTTCATCAACCCACATGGAAGGTGTTGTCGGGATATGCCACACTGGAGATTTGAATGTTCCTGTCGAGGATCCGATCGGTGCAGGTGGCTGTCGGTTGGGAGGGGAAGGTCTCGTTGGGTCGGAAGTCCAGTACCAACTAGAGAGGGACGACGATTTGAGCGATTAATGGTATGACTAGACCTTCCCCCAAGGCCTCCAAGGAGGCGTCTTAGTGATCTCCCATCGACAGTGAGGTTTCAACCAAGCCTTTAGCCTCCGTCCAAGCCTACAGGAAGACGCTACCGTTCCTCGAGCAGTGTCGTCGTACGGGCTTTCCATGGGAGATGCCGAAAATGGTCATTTTAGTATGCCCTTTGGACGTAGTCGTCAAGGCTACGTTCGATAGACTCACGAGTTGATCGTCGAAGTATCTGTTCCAAGGGACTGCTGGGGTACTGATGAGATGATGAGTCTTACGGACGACAAGTGAACATCACTGCAGTGATGCCTCGTGCTTTGGCCTCCGCCCAGTCACTTCGTTGTCTTGAGCTATCAGTAGTAGATTTGCAATAACTGATAACAACCACGCTTTCTATCCGAAAGGTATGGGGTTCAATCCTAAGAACTGTCGATTGGATCTCACTCGTCTTCATCGTGAGCTGGCGGCCACCCCTTTATTGCTATCGCCTCCTTTCCAATACTCTCCTTCTCCCCAGGTCGCCCATGAGGATACTTTTCGGCATCTCCATAAACCGGAAAGTCACCATTCAAGCCTCGAGTCTTCCCAACAACCACAATGCCCCTTTCCTCGAAAGAACCGCCTTGTATGCTCAGAATCCCCAACGCTGACAATACCAACAACAACCCGAGGAGGACCACCAAGCCTCTGCCAGGCCCTCCATGCCTTCTCTCAGGCGGAGACTCGCTCTCGCCTACGTCTACCTCAGGGTTGTGGCGTCTGCTGATTGCCATTGCCTTCTTCACCATAATGGTGACACCATCCCCAGAAAATGCGCTGATTATCGATCACATTTGTAAATCTCGCTCGCCCATAGCTTTTGACATAAATTCATGACGTGGCTGAAACTCGTCAACGCGTTCATTACCACCGTTTAATTGGTTTAACACAATGGCTGCTGCTCCTGGAGAGAAGACTCATATGTCGATCGTGATCTGTGGTCATGTCGATTCAGGCAAGTCCACCACTACTGGCCGTCTGCTGTTCGAGCTTGGTGGTGTTTCCGATCGAGAGATAGAGAAACTGAAGGCAGAGGCTGACCGCCTCGGCAAGTCTTCATTCGCCTTCGCTTTCTACATGGACCGCCAGAAGGAGGAACGTGAGAGAGGTGTCACTATTGCTTGCACTACTAAGGAGTTCTTTACTGATTCGTGGCACTACACTGTTATTGATGCTCCTGGTCATAGAGATTTTATCAAGAACATGATTACCGGTGCCTCCCAGGCCGATGTGGCTCTCCTCATGGTCCCTGCTGATGGTAACTTTGGTACCTCTATCGCCAAGGGCAACCACAAGGCTGGTGAAATCCAAGGTCAGACTCGTCAGCATGCTCGTCTGATCAACTTGCTCGGTGTTAAGCAGCTCGTGGTTGGTGTCAACAAGATGGACTCTGACGTTGCCGGTTATAAGAAGGATCGTTACGAGGAGATCCGTGATGAGATGAAGAACATGCTCGGCCGTGTTGGTTGGAAGAAGGACTTCATCGAGAAGTGTGTCCCAGTGATTCCAATCTCTGGATGGATTGGCGATAACCTCATCAAGAAGTCTGCTAAGATGGACTGGTGGAAGGGTGTTGATGTTGTACGTGACCCCGCCTCGAAGGACGTCATTCACATCGACACTCTTTATGACGCTCTTGAGAAGTTCGCTACTGTGCCCAAGCGCGTTACTGATGCTCCTATGAGGATGCCCGTGTCTGGTATTTACAAGATCAAGGGTGTTGGTGATGTCATCACTGGTCGTATCGAACAAGGGATTGTCAAGCCCAACGAGGATGTTATCTTTTTGCCCACTCACACGCCTGCCACTCCCTGCTCTGGGAAGGTCTTTACCATCGAGATGCACCATAAGCGTCACGAGCGAGCTCTCCCTGGTGATAATGTCGGTCTCAATGTTAAGGGTCTGATCAAGGAGAACATGCCACGTGCTGGTGATGTCATGATCTACAAGAAAGATACCTCGTTGAAGCACGTCCAGTCCTTCACCGCTCAGATTCAGGTCTTGGACGTCCCTGGTGAAATCAAGGTTGGGTATTCTCCTATTGCTTTCGTCCGTACTGGCCGTTCCGCTTGTAAGCTCGCTAAGATCAACTGGAAGGTTGGTAAGGAAACTGGTGGTAAGAAAATGGAAGATCCCCACTCTCTTAAGTCCAACGAGATGGCTGAAGTCGTTTTCGAGCCCATCCAGCCGCTTGTGGTTGATTCCTACAAGAACTGTGAGGGTCTCTCTCGTGTAGCTCTGATGGAGGGTAACGGTGTTGCAATGCTCGGCAAGTGCACCTCGACCGTCGCTAAGGTGGTGAAGTAGTTATTAGAAGCTATCTGGTCTTCATGGCCGTAAAAGGTTTTTTTCAATTTCGAGTTGGACGGGGGGGATTTTGTTAGTTTCCGACTCCTCGTGTTGAGTTATCGGGAGTGTGAGGTGCGTCCACTGATGTGATGACATGGGCATATCAGAGATGACGTGTTGTTGCGGATGAACCCCCGCAAGCCTCGTCATTGTTAGTGAAGTTATTGCCATTAAAAGTCTGATCAGTAAAAGCGATGAAATGATGACCCCGAGCGCGCGTGACCTGAGTCTCTAATAAGAGATTGTCTGAAGACTGCTCTCTTTATCTGATCATTATAGTGAATCTATGAAGGACTGATCGGACTAGTGTGTTATGGAAACGTAGTGATTATGTTGTAGGACTATATCAATGATCAGCTGTCGTAACCATACGCTGCATGAGGCACTATTTTTGTATCAAACTCACACTGTGACTCGAGTCCAACAATTGTGTAGCGTTTGGAAGGGCCGTGAGCATGATACCAGACAGTCATAGGAGGACAGGGAGGGTCATATTGAAAAGGCAGTTGAGTTAGTTAGTCTGCCGATAAGCCTGTGATGAGCCATTGATGCATCCTGTGCACAGAGGAAGCTACTAGATTCAAGCTACTGCAGATACTCGATCGATATCGACGATTAAAGTAAGGTGCTAGATGTCTGGAGATGGCCAGACTTTGGCTCATCCTATGCGCCCGTCCCAGCTCAGTCCATCGATGTGGATGTAGCAGAGTTTGTCTTCCAAAGGTAAGCCCGCAGCAGAGATATTTGGGTTGTATTCGTTGTTAGACATTTCTAGTAGATGGGAGTGTGGGTCCATCCACAGCGACCATCGCCTTCTGGTCGGATTTGTATGGTAGATCATCGTCAGCTGCCTATGGCTGTTATGGACAGTCTGTAACCTATGGACCACGCCAGTTCTGCTTCTGTGTGCAACGCAATCTGCCTTGCCCTAGCAATCTTGGCTTGTCAGCTACATCCTCTACGTTATTGGTAATTTCACTTCCTTAGTAGTAGAGTACGTTTCTCCTTAGAAAAAGGCCGGGGCGAGCGAGCAAGAATTTTTCCCTAGAAAAGTAACTTTCTCCTCAGAAAAGTGATTTAAATTGACCTTCTCCTGACAACAGTCTACGGTGCTCCTCCTTTTTCTGCTGGCCTGGTCACAGTTGATAAACGTTTTCCCTACGCCTCGTATCGTCTACCATGTCAAACGTGTATAATGTAATTTCCATTCGAGAAAGAATTTGGCGTTTCCTGTTAGACCTGGGAATGACGAGCAGTGTTAGAGCAATCTTGGTATCAAATATTGTCGTATACATTTTTTCTCTGTTACTGGTCTCGTGTCGTTATGGATAATGTCGTGTAAAAATATTCATCGAGATTAAATATTTTTATTTTATCTGTTAGTATTAGTTGGTCTATTAGGTTAAAATGTATATTATAAAATGATGATACATTGGTT